CCTAAACCCTAAACCCCCCGAAAGCCAAGGCCATGCCCTGCAACTTCCTTGACATGGCCTTGATCACAGGCCTCACTTTTTTAGTATTTAGGCTTTAGGGCTTTGATCGCAGCCCCGTGGGCCCCCTCATATCCGGATGGGTCTCAATATATCCCCCAACCCTAGTGTAATTCTTAAGGCTTGTGGCGTTGGTCACAGGCTTTGGAGTTCCTGAATATACTCAGGGGTTTAGGGTTTGAGGTTCCTAGTGTACTTATACTATGAACCCTTTGGGTTCCTTTAGTGTGCTTAGGGGTTTTGGGCTTAAGGCTCGGGTAGTTCTCTACACCAGGATCTCTTGTAGGTTCCTTTTTATAAGGGTGCCGCCTTCTTTGGGTTCTTAAACAAGGGATCCCAATTTGGAGACCTACCGATCTACTTATACTATCAGTGAGGTTTCAGGATTTGGGATGTTGAGAATAGCAAGTTAAGTGTCGGAAAAATTCACAAATATTACACCATATGGTTATTAATATACCCCCGAAACCGTACTCTCGTGGCCTTGATCATAAGCCTTCGTTCGCTGCCTACTTCGGATTTTGAGTTTGGGGTGGGTCTGGGTTTAGGATTTAGAGCATACTAGCTTACGTGTGTCAAGCACAAAGCGCTTGCTGATTACGGCCCCCAGACCCCAAACCACCGGAGGATCCAAAAAGACGGAACCAAAAAAATCTCTGATCTGGTTTTCTTTCTTTCTCTAGATAGATAGATAGATAGATAGATAGATAGATAGATAGCTGTGTGTGTGTTTGCATAGGTTATTCGAAGGTAAGGCGGTGCAAAAAGCATCGAAACACAGTGAACAAGAATATACAAGGACAGCGAAAACGCGTTGAGGGAGAGCGTTAGAAAGACAATAGAAATTAAAGACAGTGGGAGGGCATAGAAACAGAGCCAAAAGGCATGGACAAGCAGTACAAAGCAGAGGGACCAGAAAGCGTTGGAAGCTCCGTAGGGGCTTCACACTATCCCATCGGAGTCGCCTCCTGGGATCTTAACACCGCCGCGGACTGTAAGATCATCTTGGCCTACGGGCCGCTCGTCCACGTCCTCACTCAGAGCACGAGCTTCTCCGAGCCGATTTCCGTTATCGGGCGTGTCGACAACAACCCCGTCGCCTCAACACTCGGCTGCATGTACTACACCGCATGCTGGACAATGCCCAGCCCGCCACTGTCATCGAAGGCGAGGATGCACCCTGAAGCTGCAGCAGCCAGGGCACCTGCTTTGCTGATGTCGTCCCTGCTGGCCGGCTGTGTTACGACATGTTTCCCAAGCTCCACCTCTGTCCCTCATACGTAGGCGAGGGTTTTAGGATATGTTGTGGTGCAGCTAGGGACCTCTAGAAAAGCTCCTGTCAGGTCCTTACAGGGTTCTACATGGAGCTTTGGCGTTTAGAAGGGTTCTATGCGTGTGATGGTGCTCTTCAAAAATCTCTAAGGGGCTTCAGATGTCTTTGCTTCTTGACCCTAGGTAGTGTCAGGGAGACACCTTAAAGGGGACCCGTCTTAAGCCTACTTCTGGCTCTCTTAAAGGGGACCCTCTGGAGATGGTCTATTTCTCCGAGGGTCCCCCTAACCCTAACTCCTAGGACCACCACTCAGCCCTGAACCCCTCAACCCTAAACCCTCTAAAGCCTAAACCCCAAGCGCCCCCCCTAATCCTGACTCCTGTTTTCAGGCTCCCAGGACTTAGATCCTAGAGTTCTAGAGGCTGAAGAACTCGTGTAGTAACCCTTATAGAACGCCCTAAGGAGCCCTTAAAGGAAACTAAATCCTAAGTACAGTCGCCTGGGAGTGTAACAGAGTCTTCAGCCCCGGTTTTTGGGCTGAGGGCTTTCGGGTTTCGGCTTTCAGGGTTTAGGGTTTTACGGTTTAGCGTGTCGGGCTTTGGATTATGGTGCTCGTCCGGTTTTTTCGGGCCTTGGAGATTCAGGGTTTCAGGGCTGGGTTTAGGGTTCAGTCTAGGACATTTCCAGGTGGGTAGTTCCCGATTATAGGAGCCTTATAGAAGGTCTACATACCTTATAGAAGCCTCATAGAAGCCCTATACCCGAAACTCCCCAGCTGTAGTTTCCTTTAATCCAGGATCTCGCGATTTAGCTTGGCTTGCAGGGCTTAATCCGGTTTGGTGATACGGCTGATGGACAAGATCCTGCATGACCTTATATACTTAAGCTATGGGATTTATGGTACTATAGTTTTTTGGGGTCATGCAGAATTCTGTCCATCAACCGTAGCTCTTGCGCTCCACGGAAACACTAAATGCTTGAGCCCCGCACTCCTAGCTATGCCCGAGAAAAAGCAGAGCTTGCATTTGCTTTAAGGACATATTAAACAGGAGGGAAAAGAAACATGAAGCCTTGCACGGATAGCTTTTGGGGTCAATTTTAAGGTCAACCCTCAACCACAGTGCCCTAAGCCCTAAACCAGAGTGCCCCAAGCCCTAAACTAGAGTGCCTCCCTTGTTCAGGCATGTTGGTGATCCTGGACATGGGTTCCCTCTTCGTGGGCGAAGTCGACGGCGGTGTGACCATGGTCATCTGAGTTTTGGCTTCAGACTAGTACATATTAGTATATGTTTGTAAATCCATCTCTAAAGTCTCGGGCATTACACCCCGATCTAAGTTATGTAAGAGTCCTTCTTTGAGTTCTCGACTTTCCAGCTTAGCAGTTCTCGCTGAAGCTTTAGTACCTTTCTTAAGGTACCCATGACGTTTCCAGGCGGAAGAACAGGGGTGCCTTAGGGCTCTTAGCATCTAGGCACTTGGGCTTCATGGTGCAACTACTGCGTTGCACACCTGCTTTCTCTTGCTGCTAATGTTCGCACAAATAAAATTTAGGGGTTCGGGTTTAGGGTTCAGGGGTTCAGGATTTCGGGGTTTAGGCTTTAGGGCACCAAGAGCAAAGCCTCTGGAATACTCATGTGTCGCGCAGGCTTTGGCCCATGTCGTCCTCATCATGTCACTGCTTTGTGATGATCTTCGTCACAACAATGCCACTAAGTGAGAAAGGATCCTAAAAGCCTAACCCCAAAACCCCCCAAACCCCAAAACCCTGAGCCCTTATCCCTGAGCCCAAAAGAGCACTACCCAGGCCTCATTTTCTCGGCGTTGATGCTCTTGTCCATCGTCGCGGCCGTGGGATACGGAATCACCAAGTGGCTTGCACAAGGGTTTTGGGATTTGGAGTTTCGGGTTTGGGATGTGCAGTATTCGGGCATACTTGGAGTTTGGTTGTACTTGGGTTTGAGGTAATGTGGACAGGTCAAATCTTGAAACTAATTCACCCTGCCGCCAAAACAACCCTTGTAAGACTTGCTTTCAAAGCCTACCCAAAGCCCTGAACAGAAAAAGACAGCTTCAGAGGTTGGCCGGTTTACACCAGCAACTAATCGAGCTAAACCCCAAGTCATGTAGGGTTTCTCGGATGGCAAAGCTTCATCAAGCAGGTGGGACGAAACCATGAGCCCCTGCCTGAACTGCAAAACCTGAACCTTGATCCCTTATAGCATTCTTATCAAGCCTTGTTGCACCCTTCATCCCGTAAACCCTGAACCCAGGCGGCTCATGCTCCCAAACCCGAAACCTCAAACCCCTCATCCCCGCAAACCCCAAATTAGGGGATCTACTTTCTAGATCCTTCCGGGGTCTGGGAAGGGGCCAAAAACAGCTAAACCCTGAACCCAGGCACTTCATGCTCAAGTACCGCAAGCCTTTCAGGTCGGCGAGAGGGAAGCGGGCGTTTCGATAGTAATATAGGGGCCATAATACTACCCATGCTTATTTTGGTGGTTCCTTACTATGAATATAGTATAACATACCCGAATACCCTATTCGAATTATTTAGGCCCCTATATGAGTTGATTCTCGGTTCTTTTGAAAGGGGGAGGGGGGGCTGTGGGGCTTTATACTTGGAGGTTCATGGGACTAAGTAATTACAAGTAGAAAAGGAAGTACCTTAATTTGGGTTATAGGTAGCTTTTAGAATAGTTACTAGGTCCCATGAACCTGTAAGTAGGGTAGAACGATGGTTTGGGCGTTCTTGCATTGTTCATTGGCGTTTCTAGTTTTTCGCCGTGTGCTTTTGAGCATGGGGTCCTCAGAATAGCTTTAACCAGAAGTCCTTCCGTGCGTAAGTGGGCAAGAGCCCCGACCCTACACCCTAAACTCCAAACCCCGAAAATAGGGACCCTAATATAGTACCCTAAATAGTAGGATCCTTCTTACAAGGACCCCAAAATCATGTAGCCCTTGTTTTCGGAAACTCCCATCCCCTAAACCCTAAACCCTAAACCGCCATCGAAACGCTAAATCTCCAAAGGAAGCTCCAAGTGCTTCGACACAGAGCTGCAACCTCTAAGCCCCCAACTCTACACCCCTACCCAGGGGTCCCGGGAGGATCCAAAAAGTAGATCCCTTAATGGGGGGGGTTCCTATAAAGAGCCCTCAGTAGTATAGGGTCCCAACTTAGGGGGATCTACTTTCTAGATCCTTCCGGGGGTCTGGGTAAAAGAGAAGCCCGACACTCTTCACCCTAGACTCCTAAAAAAAGCCCCCCGCCAAGCCCAAATACATAAAACCTGCATCCTAAACCTAAGACCGAGACCTTTTAAGCAGAAGAGTCCAGAAAAAGGAACAACTAAGGTTCCTAAGCCCCAAGCTGAAACCCATGAAGCCTACTTAAAGGTTGATGGGACTTAGTAACTAGGCTTATAAATATGGTACCTATACTTATAATTACTTATAACCCCAATTAAGGTACTTATAACTGTACTTATTAAGTCCACCCTAAGCCCTGAAGCCAGCGCTGCAGGTACTTCCTTTGCCACCAAAAGATCCAGGCCTTGGGGCGGCGGCAGAAAATGCAGATTTCGCAGAGTACCTTGAGAATGGACTCCAACAGGTATGCCACTATTGCACGGCTTTGAGATAGATAGGCCGTGTTCAAAGTGTTCCATTTTTTGTAGATCCTTGCCGGGATTCTGGGTAGAGCGTTTCCTCTTTGGTGCTGAGTGGATCTGCGGCCACCCTGCAGTCGGAACCTCCCCACAAAAGCTAGAGGACTTGTCGAAATTTCACAGAGTCCAAGAGAGACACTGGGAACAGTAGGATTCTCATTGTAGGGAGTTCCTAACATTCCAAAAACGGCACAGGAGGTTAGGTCAGTAGGATGTTTTTCCAGTTCTGAGTGCCCTAGTTAGGTGTATCCTCCTTCAGAGAAAGCTACTTAGCTACTTCCGTCTGTGCGCTTTGAGTCGGGGGCCTCTGGAGACTCGCTGTGAGAGACAGAAACTGAGTAAACACCAAAGGCAATCGTATTCTTGCAGAATACCGGGAGGATCCAAAAAGTAGATCCCTTAATGGGGGTTCCTATAAAGTACCCTTTAGTAGTAGAGGGTCCCCAAATTAGGGGATCTACTTTTTAGATCCTTCCGGGGGTCTGGGTAGAAGCTTCAAGAAAGGCATGCGACCGTTGAATGGGTGAAGTTAAGGTAACATAGAAGCCCGAAGAATTACCAACACTACTTGGGTAGTTCTCTAAAAAGTACGGCCCCCTTGTAAAAAGGACCCAAAAGAAAGGGACCATTATTTTAGAGAACTACCTATTTCTTGAACGCTCCAAGGCTCCTAGATGATTTCTTGTTGGAGGCTGTGGGTTCGGAGTTTAGGTTGCCCTGCCCAGTTCTGAAAGGCCGGAAGCTACGCACGCTTGCTGAAGATGGAGATCCAGATGCACTTGGTTTTTTGGGTTTAGGGGTTGAGGGTTTAGGGGTTTAGGTTTTAGAGGCTGTCTTGTCCATGGGGGCTGCATGACTCTGAAGACACTAGATCAGATTTACCGCGTGGGGATTGGAGAACCTCTTGATCCAGATGTTGCAAGTGTGGGCGCACCGTCGCTTTCTTCTGGTGCTGCGTGCCACAAGTTGTCAATGACTAGCGTATATTATGCAAGTACACATATAATCCCAGACCCCCGGGAGGATCCAAAAAGAAGATCCCTTAATGGGGGTTCCTATAAAGTACCCTTTAGTAGTAGAGGGTCCCAAATTAGGGGTTCTACTTTTTAGATCCTTCCGGGGGGTCTGGGATAGTATCTACAAGGAGCTCGAACGAGCAAAGCACGGTAGCTTGGCGAGGAAGGCAGCAAGGAGGCCGACCCCGTCACCCTAAACCCTCAACCGCGAAAGCTTAATTGGGTAGTTGTCAAAATTATGGTCCCTTTTTGGGAACCCTGAATAATAGGTGCCGTACTATATTAGGGACCCAAAAAGGGACCATAATGTTGACAACCACCCTGATCGAGCTCTACCGGATGAAGCAACAACAACTCCAAGCCAAACCTTGTCGTCTAGGCTTTGGAGTCTAGAGCCCTAAACCCTAAACCCTAAACCCTAAACCCCTAAACCCTAAACCCTAAGGCTTTGGAGTCTAGAGCTCTTCCGCCCCTATTTCCCCGTTTGCCCCCCCCAAGGCCACGTCTAACGCATCAGGCCCCTGCACGGGGTTTCGGCCGGCCCTGAATTCAGAGACCCAAGCATCCTGGGATCCTTATGGAATCCTTAAGGGAGGGGGTTCTAAGGGGGGTATATAACCCAGTAATCCCCAATTCTCCCTAGTACTCCCTTAGGTTCCCTAAAGCTCCCTAAGGATCCTGAGGACCCTCCCCCCTTGAGCCACCC